TCTCTGTCTCTAATGAATAAATAAATAAAATCTTTAAAAAAAAAAAAAAAGAATGTGAGAGCTTTTAGAGACGTGTTTTGGAATTCTTCATTTATTATTTATTTTTGAGTCCTCTTTTTCTCTTGGAAGAGGTTTATCTATTTTGTTTATCTTTTAAAAAACTGGCTATTTTATTGATCATTTATGTTGTCTTTTTAGTCTCTATTTCATTAATTTTCATTCTGATCTTCATTATTTCCTTTTTTTCTAACTTTGGGCTTCATTTGTTTTCCTAGTTCCTCGAGGAAGTTGTTCATTTGAGATCTTTCTTGTTTCTTGATGCAGGCATTTGTCGCTATGAATTTCCCTCTTAGAACTGCTCTTGCTGCATCTTTTCAGTTTTGGTGCACCATGTTTCCATTTTCTGTCAAGATATTTTTTAGTTTCTGATTTCTGCTTTGATCCATTGGTTGTTCAGGAACATGTTGTTCAATCTCCACATACTTGTGACTTTTTAGATTTTCTTATGGTTGACTTGTAGTTTGATATGATTGTGATGCCTGATATGATTTCAATCTTCTCAAATTTATTAAGCCTTGTTTTGTGGCCTAACATGTGATCTACCCTGGAAATATTCCATGTGCTTGAGAAGGATGTATATTCTGCTTTTGGATGGAATGTTTTGTGTCTGTCTTTTAGGTCCATCAAAAGGTCTGTCTAAAATGTAGTTCAAGTGCAGTGTTTCCTTATTGATTTTCTGTCTGGATGGTCTCTCCATTGTTGAAGGTGCTGCCTATTTCTCCTTGGTATTTGCTGTATATATTTAGGTGGTCCTGTGTCAGGTGCATAAATACTTAGAAGTGTCATATCCTCTTACTGGATGGACCCCTTCATCATTACATAATGACCTCCTTTGTTATCATAGTCTTTGGCTTAAAGTCTATTTTGATACAAGCATAGCTACCCTTGTGGAAGTCTTCAGTCTGATTTGCCCTCTTGGTTAGAGAGATGGGGAGGAATCATTGGATTCGTATAATGAGGGCCGGCACCCTTGGATCACGTCCCAGGGAGTGAGCACAGCCCACCTGGGGGCCATGTGAGGTACGCCATAGTTTCAAGACCTCCTCGTATATCTTGACCACCTCTTACGTGTGGGTAGGTAAGAGAAGTCTTCTTGCACTTTCTAAAACTGTGGAACCTCTTCAGGGTTCCACAAACCATGAGTTACTTCTCAAAAATGGCCAGAAGTACTGTGAGAAGGGCCTTGTCTTTGTTATGTTATTTCTTCTTCTCTTTTCTTTTCTTTTCTTTTTTTTTTTCATCTTTTCTATTCACTGTCACTTTCTTCTTTGTGCTCTTTTCATGCTATTGCTTTCATCAGGTTTCTCAGAGCGTGGGGTTTGCTGTCAGATTTGGGTGGGAATTCCACCTCTGTCCACTTCTCCTTGTGTGAGCAGTAACTTAACCTAAGCCTCACTTCCTCATGTTAAAGTAATGTCCTCATCTTCATTTTAAGGGAACATTTGTAAAGTTCTTAGCACGGTGCCTTCTATATGGTCAGCATTCAATGAGTGATCTATTTTGATGCTATTATTGTTGTCATGGGTTTTCTTTTTAGGTTATCTCTTTTATCTTGACTAAGAACCCTACTTCTCCTAAAATAAGCCAGAATGTGGAGAATCAAATACTTTCCCTAGAAGAAACCTCTGTCACAAGCATAAGTGGTACGCTTGAGATCACCTCAGTCAGAAAAACAGAAATAACCAACACCGTGAAGGTCAGCTACAGTTAGGCTCCATGTGAACTCGTAGTCCTTTAAAATTTCCTTTTTAACTCTTCCCATGGCTCCAGGGTCCCAAGGAATCTGTGTTAATTGTTTTAAGTTGTTTAGTATTAACATGAAAACTAGGAAGTAGAAGAAGTAGAAAAGCAACAAGCAGACTTCGGTTGAGTTTGTTCTCTTGCCTTATGTCTTGTGTGCAGATGACTTGCCAAGAGGTTGGTCTCAAACCTGAGTGGCTGTTTGCATCCAGATCCCTTTGCTCAGAGTGTAACATAAGGCGGAGGGAGGGGAGCAGTTTTGACTATCACAGTTTGTGGGAATAAGGTTGGAAACAGCTCAGCCAGATAATCTGGAAAGGATGAGGTGACATCTTTTAAAAAGGCTCTAGGGGCGCCTGGGTGGCTTAGTCGCTTGAGCGTCCAACTCTCGGTTTCAGCTCAGGTCATGATCTCAGGGTCATGGGATCGAGCCCCAAGTCCGCCACTGTGCTCAGCAGGGAGTCTGCTTGGGATTCTTTCTCTCCCTCCCCCCTCCCCCCCCATGCTCGCTTGCTCTCATAAATACATCTTTTTAAAAAAATTAAAAAGGCTCTAGATTAAGAATCTTCTCCCCATGGAAGTGGGTGGGGATTATTGAATTCATTTGCTGTAACCATGGTCGACTTTATCACTCCTGCCATGAAAAGGGGCCAGAAGATGCCAGTTTCTTTCCTGTCCAGTGTATCTTGCTCAAAGGTCCTTGAGTTTCCAACAATTTCTGTTAAGAATTTCTGATTGCCTAGTAATCATTTCCAAATACCTCAGTATTTGTTAACATTAGCTGGTTTAGTCATACACTTGGCCCCAAACAAGAGAGGGCTTTGTGTTCCTTTTTGCCTCCAGAGAGGTGATTGTATGTTGCATAATTTTTTTTTTTTTTTTGTATTGCCCAAACATAGAGTTGCTTGCGGATGTTTCTGACACCTAGCACAGGGCCTGACCCCTCTCATAGTCATCGCTTAGTAAGCACGGGTCTCCTCCCCCCTAGCTAGAGTTAATTGTTCTGGTTAGATGAGGGAGTTGTATGTGTCTGTCTGTCTGCAGGTGAAGGGTATGGCAGGCTGAGGAGTGCTGGTGACCTACCTCTTATAACAGGGGAGTGGAGAACCGAAAGGAGGGGGTCCAGACTGCTCGCGTTCCACCCTTGACTCACCCCTAGGCTGAGAGGGTAACATTCTAACTACCTCTCAGCACCGCCCTGGAGGAACCTTACCCAGGAGCTGTGGGGTAGCAAAGCTGCCCCCTGGCTTCTGCTTCCCTCCCTGGCTGAGGGGTCATGGCCTGGGCTCAGGCAGGAAGCGACAGTTCACCGCCCGGTGTCTCGCCCTCTAGGCCGCTAAAGGAAAGGACGCTGCGTGCGGGCCCCGAGATGGGAAGAGCCTCTTGAGCGGGCTGGCGTCTGGGGAGTCCAGCTGGTCGCAGCACCGACAGCGGCGCCTGCAGGACCACGGCAAAGAGAGGAAGGAGCTCTTCTCTATGACTTTGCAGGTATGGCTTGGTCTTGGCAGCAGACGAGTGCCTGTGCGGACATCGCGTGGCTACTCTTGGGGGCCGTGGATACGGATGGGGTGGTGCAGAGCGTGCGCTTACCTCTCCTGATTTCTGCGTCATACTGTTCGCGGGTCACAGGTTCTCTGAGGCTTGGCCAGAGAGACCTGCTTCCCTTGCTTTAACCCAGAATCACCCAGCCTTGCTCCGTCACAGGGTCCCTTCCTCCCGCATCCCCTGCTGGAGACGCTGCCCTGTCGCACCGACTTGTGCTGCCTCCTGGCCCCTTGCCGCGCTGAGTCCTGGGACTCCCCTTTCTCCCGAAAATGGGTCAGGATCTGCTCTTCCTGGCAGTAAAGCTGCTTCTCTTTCTGTCACATACTCCGGATTGAAGGGAAACGCCCAAGGGATTTACTGGCTAAGTCACCTTGTTGACCACTTATCCCCTGTTTGGGGCTTCTTGCCAATTTCAGAAGCGCTCGTGCTGCTTCCCCAGCCCTGCGCCGGCTGCAGTCTGATGGCGTAGACCCCCACGGCTCTGACCTCAGGGTGTCCCGTTCCGACACTGTCGGATTAGAGACGCCCCTGAGCTCAGCCGCCCCCCGAAGGCGCCAGTCTGAGCTTGGAGGTCTGTCTCCTGCTGTTACATTTTTGCTGTGGGACTGTGCTTTCTGAGACGCCGAGGAGCACTCCGGAGAGCCTCAGGAGCCGTGGGGGGTGGCGGAGTTTGCCCTGGCGGATGCCCCCTGGCCCGGGTTATGTCTGGGGGAACAGTCGTAGTCATGGTGGCCAACACTCAGCGCACCGGCGAGGCAGAGACCAAGGCAGCTGCGGACCTGCCAGGCGGCAGGGTGTGTGGGGTGCCCTCTGGGGCCCGGCCTTCTTCTGGCGCTGCGGCTGTCCTCGGGTCTCCATCTTTGCGTGTGGCCAGTCGCCTCGGTCTCTTGGCACTGGTGTGGTGGGATGCTGGTGAGGGGCGAGGCCTGCCTCTGACTGACCTGGCTTCATATCCAGTTCTGCCCCTTGCCAGCTCCTGACCTTGGGCAGGTTACTTAACTTTCTGCTTTCAGTCTTAGTTTCCACAGTCATCAAATGGGGTTAATAATAGGATCTCAGATGGTTTGGGGCAGGATTAAATGCGCGAATCAAATGTAGTCACACAGTGCCTGGCACTTACTAGGTGCTCACTAATTTTTATTGTCGGCCTGTCCTGCGTCGTGTCAGCTGTGACAGGGCAAGGGTGCCCATGGCCCACTACTCCCTCAGCAGGGCCTATGAGAGGGGGAAGGTCTCCAGAGAGGGGCCATTGGCAGAGCAGGAGCCTGCCTGTCCTGGGACAAGCTGGGTGCTGCTCTCGGCATCCAGAGCTCTGTCTTCTAGAGCCTGTGCCCGCTGAGAGCCTCCCCCAGCATGCGGTGGCCTGGCATCCTAGCTGTCCTGCAGCGGGTCCCCAGATGTGCGGACCGCTCACAGCTGACTTGTCCCCACTTTGCTTGTCCCAGAGCGCAGAGAAGAAGGCCGAGGCTAGTGGCCCAGAGGCCGAGCCCTGCCCAGAGCTCCGCGTGGAGGCGCTGGAGACGCTGACGCGGGCTTCTGCAGCGGGTGCCGAGGGCGGAGGGGCCCGCCCCGAGCAGCCGTTCATTGTGCTGGGGCAGGAGGAGTACGGGGAGCACCACTCCTCCATCATGCACTGCAGGTGGGCTGGGGTCTGGGGGTCAGGGGGAGGCCCCCGGCAGGGAAAGTGCCGACTGGGCTGGAGGGGCTGGCTCGCTGGGAAGCCTGGCTTGTCCGGCTGTGCGTGTGAAGGTGTGGCAGGCAGGAGGTCCACCCAGTGGGATGGTCGCTGACGGACCACAGTCATTCCTCCAGAGTCCGAGGAGGGCTGGACAGCTGCTCTTGGCGGGGGTAGCCTCTCTGTCCTTTCTCACGGTGGGACTCTGAGTTTTAGGAACAAGTTACCTTTTATTTGAACTCCCTGAGACTTAATTTTAATTTGCTTTATGTTGCTTTACTTTTCGGTACACCTTCACCATGTACAAGTTTTTAGTCACACGTGGTAAAAGCATGACGTCTGTGAGAAGGCCTCACGGAGTGTGGTCTGCAGAGAGTGGGGGGCTCCCTGCCGTGGCCCCGGTGGCTCTGGAGTCCCGCCGCGGGAGGCGCCGTTGCCCGGGCGTGGGGCCGCGTGCGCCGCCCCGCTGCTCTGTGCCCGCTCTTTCCCACAGGGCTCAGCACAGAGCAGGTCCTGCGCACGTAGTTCTTGGGCAGGTGACTGAATGAATACTTCTAGAGATAGCCCACGCCTATCCTCGGAGTGTAGGCAGTTTGGGAAACAGTTGAGAAGTCAGCAAAGCAATGCTCTGGGCACTAGCCGAAGAGGATGGTGGACTCAGGCAAGGATGATAACGGCCTCCTTCTCTCTTCCGTCTTAGAGTGGACTGCTCGGGGAGGAGGGTCGCCAGCTTAGACGTAGATGGGGTCATCAAAGTGTGGTCCTTCAACCCCATCATGCAGACCAAAGCGTCTTCCATTTCCAAGTCGCCGCTGCTGTCCCTGGAGTGGGCCACCAAGCGGGACAGGCTGGTGAGTGATGCCCACCTTGTTGCCGTCTAAGTGAGGCGTTCCCGGGGCCGTCCCCCGGCACTGTCCCCTGGCACCTGGCACCACAGGCTGAGCTGAGGCAGCCAAACCCAGCCCCTCCCTCTCTCTTACTGGGGCTTGGGGGGACGCACATCCAGACTGTCCCGGCAGGCTCGTGTTTGGGGGCAGCAGGGAGGTTATTGGATTCACAGGAATTGAAATCTGATGGTAGTGGGACCTGGAAAACCTGTCTGGTGGGGGAGTGCTTCTTCCTCTCTGGCTGGGGAGACACCAGCTTACCTCCCGTTCTCCCCCGTCAGCTCCTGTCATCTGTCCAGTTTCTGACAACCCACGACGAACGTTCTCAGCTGCCCTTCCTACTGCTGAGACCCCTCCCCGTGGCAGGCTCCCAGGGTAGCAGCTTAGGCTGGTGGGGATGGTGTCCTGTTTGGGGTCCCCACAGGTCTACTACAGTGCTATTAGTACATAGTACAGTGTTCTTTTCCCTTTTGGACTTCATTATTTGAGAGAGGCTTTGTAGTTAAGGAGGTAAAGTTGATTTGTAGTGTTTTCTTTCATTGTACTCCGTTCCAAGGAGATCATACAAGGCAGCCCAAGGGGCAAACCTCATTGGTTTTATTTTGTTTTTTAATAATTTTTTGACAACCTGCAGGAATTATCCTTGTGGTACTAGGATCTCAGAGCTTATCCTGTAAACATATTAATTTGCCAGTGTTAGTTTGAGGTCAGAAGGTAAGTAATATTCCTGGGGGATATTCTCAGACCTGCTTCTGGTGCTTTCTTCTGGCCGTACCCATTATTATCTTTGAAGCTTCTTACCCAGTAAATCACAAATGCCTGAAGGCAAGGATAGCCTTTTCTATTTTTTCTGGAGGCCATTACACAGCCAGAGCTGTCCCCAGAACGTGCCACTGGGGCAGGCAGCCAGGGGCCAGTACCCAGGGAGGTGTGGTGGGTAGATGAGGAGCAAGAAGGGAGGACAGGCACAGCCGGGATTTAAAACTGGCAGAAAGGGAGGGAAGGTCAGAGGGCCTCATTTAATGAGCCAGCACAGTTCCAGGTGTATCTGAGGCTATACCTCTCTCCCAGTCCATAGATTCCTTTTGAAGTTCCGCTTCTGTTCAAGGTCACCTCTGATGTCTTCATGTAATTTTTAAATGAGGCCCATGTTAGCCAGATTTCACCTGAGTGTGGGGAGGTAGGCGGAGGCGGGGCCTCACCCCTGCAGCCTGCCCAGACCCGCACCCCACAGTGTGCCTGGCCCCGCAGTGGTCCTCCCTGACCCGGCCTGAGCCCTGTGCTGTGCTTTGCACCCCTGCCCCTTCTCATTCCAGCTCTTGCTGGGCAGTGGTGTGGGGACGGTGCGTCTTTATGACACGGAAGCCAAGAAGAATCTGTGTGAGATCAGCATCAATGATGATATGCCCAGGTGAGTGGGAGGCCACGGCCCACAGCCGCCATGCTCTGCGGGGCCTGGTCCTGTGCTGGGCCTCCTGCCCCATCCCCGCAGCAGGACCCGCCTCAGAGCTGAAGCCTGTCTTCCTCTGGGGGCAGGCGGAGTGCTGACCCAGCCCCACGTGTATTGCAGAATCCTGTCGCTTGCCTGCAGCCCCAACGGGGCCTCCTTCGTCTGTTCGGCCGCCGCTCCGAGCCTCGCTTCCCAGGTGGACTTCTCAGCTCCAGATATTGGCAGCAAGGCTACTAACCAGGTTCCCGGCAAGCTGCTGCTGTGGGACACGAAAACCATGAAGCAGCAGGTGCAGGCCCTGCCCCTGGGGGTCTCCCCGTGGGTCTGTGTGGGGTCCCGCTCCTGCGGTAGCGCTGTCTTTCTGATGAGCCTCATCCTCTCTTTGCTTCGGTCTCCTCAGATTTCAGTATACGTGCTGCCGAAGCGAGCACTAGTCTCCTCAGATTTCAGCTGGTGAAGCAGGTTCAAAGTTGAAGTGTTGAAAAGTAGTAACGCTCCCGTTGGGCAGGTTGCTAGCAACTGAAGTCATCCAGAATTGTGCCACAGACTTAGAAGTCACACACAGCCTATCAGAGCGCCCTTGTGGTTTATTAGAAGTTTTTTAAATTTAATTTTGTTTATATTGAAAGGCTTTGAACATTTTTTTTGAGCAGTTCTGGTTCACGTCAAGATTGGGAGGAGGGTCCAGAGATCTCCCATTTACCCCCTGCTGGGCCCCCCAGCAGAGCGGCACCCTGGTTACAACAGAGGCCCCCCCAGTGACACAGCTGATCACCTCATGCTCCCAGCCTGCCTTTGGGCTCTGTCTTGGTGTCGTACACTGTCTGGGTTCGGACAAATGTATGAGGACGTGTATCCACCATTACGGTACCACACAGGCCGTTCTCACTAAAAGCAGCCTGAAGATCCTCTGTGCTCCTGCTCATCCCCCCTGCCCCTCAGACCTTGGCAACTGCCGGTCTTTATACTGTCTCCATAGCTTTGCTTTCTCCGTCACATCGTGAAGTTGGAATCTTACAACGTGGTCAGATTGGCTTCTTTCACTTTGTGTTACGCAATCAAGCGGCTTGTTTTTTAGGAGACAAGTGGAGTCTCTGACTCCCCATTAACGTAGCGTTGCATGAAGTTGCCAGCAGCAGCTGGAGGTAGTGGGGACATGTGCAGGTTCTTGAGAAGTGACAGCCATGCGGAAGCTGGCTCGCGGGGCCACCTGGCCCACCTGCCTCGGGAGCCCAGGACTACCCACCTACCATGGCAGGTGCTTGCTGCTGTGACCCTCAGCCCCCAGAGAGAGAAATGACATGTAAACGCACACATTTAGAAGGCAGTGATGTTTCTTTTTTTTTTTTTTAAGATTTTTATTTATTCATTTGACAGAGAGAGAGCGAGAGCAGGAACACAAGCAGGGGGAGTGGGAGAGCGAGAAGCAGGCTTCCTGCCGAGCAGGGAGCCCGATGTGGGAC